AGCTCATTTACACACTTTTCCTGAAGATAGAAGAGTTTGTTGAATCTGACGTGACATGTTCGTACGAACCCTTTGTACGAACAAAAGGAAGAGAAGTTTAGGAGAAGAATACCAACATGTCCCTACATGAGGCCCATTATTCCTGGAGCTTATCCATCCGGTCAAAATCCATCACGTGGAACCGATACTGAAAATATACTGGTTTTCGGTAGAATCCCCACCAATGAGCCCACACACAGGATGTTAATACACCTGCAAGACCAAACTCAGGGCTAAAACAGCCCACACACTGATTCAGGCTCAGATACCCTTAAATCAGAGTCACATGACTTAATTTGAACCAATCAGCTTCCTGTTCTGAGGGTCAGCTGTGAGTCAGTTAAAACATAAAGAGACCATCAGAACAGTCCGGTCCTGTGACCACACCCACCACGTAAGGCTTGATGGCGTCTCCCACGTCCTCGTCCATGTGGATGTACATGTTGAGCAGCTGTGGCAGGTAGAAGTCCACGTGTTCGTGAGGGAAGCTGAAGAGGCGGTTCCCGATGTAGGCCTGCACTCCGGGCTCCTTGGACTTGTGCAGGTACGATATGGCCATGGACACGTCGAACAGTTTGGACTCAAACAGGCGCAGCAGCAGAGACTGTTTGGACGGGTTGTTGTGTCTCTGTCTCCGCCGGGCGCTCTTCACCGAGCCGGGGGCGGGGTCATCCTCTGGGATCTGTGGAGCACTGACGGTAGGGACCGCGGTGCTCTGAGGCGCCTCGTCTGGCTCCGCCCCGTTCTGCGGGTGGGCGGGGCCACCCTCCACCTGCTGGAGCTTCACCATCTGTAGGACCTCCTGACACGCCTGCTGGGCCACCTCAGCATCGATCACCAGGCTGAGCTCAGCCACGCCTTCGCTGATGACACACAGAGGGGGTGTGGCCTGCTGGGGGGCGCCGCAGGACGAGGAGGGGGTGGAGGGGAGGGACACGGAGGGGGAGGAGCTGATGGACACGGAAGGGGAGGAGCTGTTGTGGTCAGAGGGAGGGGGAGAAACATCCATCTGCCCGTCCTCCATCGAACTGCAGAGAGGCTCCGCCCACTTCCACTGAACCAGAGAAGCTCCGCCCACTTCCACTGAAACAGAGAAGCTCCGCCCACTTCCACTGAAACACAAATCAGAGGTCAAAGGTCAGAAATGCAGGACCAGCACAAACAGGAAGCAGACACAGGGGGCGGGGCTTAATATACAGGATCAAATTACTGAGGGGTCACTATCAAAACCAGGTCCAAACCAGGTCCTATCAGAGAGACCCGGGTCCACCTGGACCTCTGAGACGTTAAGACCCGGGTCCACCTGGACCTCTGAGACCTTAAGACCCGGGTCCACCTGGACCTCTGAGACGTTAAGACCCGAGTCCACCTGAACCACTGAGACGTTAAGACCTGAGTCCACCTGAACCACTGAGACGTTAAGACCTGAGTCCACCTGAACCACTTTAAGACCTGAGTCCACCTGAACCACTTTAAGACCTGAGTCCACCTGGACCACTTTAAGACCTGAGTCCACCTGAACCACTTTAAGACCTGAGTCCACCTGAACCACTTTAAGACCTGAGTCCACCTGAACCACTTTAAGACCTGAGTCCACCTGAACCACTTTAAGAC